GGTGGTGGCGCGGGCCGAGGGCGTCTGACCGCTCTCTCGGGGAGCCCGGGCTGGTGGGTCTTGGCGGAGAGCGGGAACCTGCAGGCTGGGGGGTCTCCGGGCCCCACCCCCGGGCCGCAGTGGGCGGGAGGATCCTCCGGGCTCGGCCCCTTCCCGCCCGCACCCGGGAGGGCGGCTGTCACCGGCTGCCCGCCCTTCCTGGCCGTCTGGAGGAAGGGCTCCCGCGGCTGTTGACAGGCACACTGCGTGGCCGGGGAAGTCGGCCGTGTCGGCCCCGGGTTTCTGGGAACCGGTTTTGCTGCTGTGTTATTTTGTACCAGCCCCTCCTCTCCCTGCTGCCCGCCGCCCCGTTCTCCCTACGCCCCTTTGTATAGTATCTTCGTGTGTGTCCGTTTTCCTCGCGAAGCCCACCAGCCAAATGTCATAATGTCCCCGAGGTGCACGGGGGAAGGGAGCGGGCCGGGACTTAGCTGGGCCAAGCAACGGTAAATACCAAGCAGAGTGCGGGTGGACGCGGCTGTCGGTGGGGAAATAAAGTTTAAAGATGAAGGCGCTGGGAAGTCTTGATACTTTCAAGCCTGTAGCAGGCTGCATATAGAGACGGCGATTAGGCTGGGTGGTAAATAACACTAGTTTAATCCTGAATCTACCGACTTTTATATGGAGTTGTCATTCAAGCAAGGTAAGGAAATGAAATGGGTTTTTCAACTTCTACCTCACTCTTCTTAGACTGACTTTTTAAAAAGACAGTCCAGTGGCCGTATTCGAAACCTTGAAATTCAGTTCGCTCATTTCAGATTGGTCTTTCAGAGCTTATGCTGTATTTGATAGGTATGGAATTCAGTCTTTGAATGGGTGATTATCAGATCTTTCTGAAATTAACAAATGTAGCCAATTTAGGTTTTTAAAAAATTCCGGTCTCGTCAGAAGCCTTGCAGCTTATGTTTTCTTGTTATTTCTTTGATGATTAAGAGATGCCTATGTTAGCCCTGGCCGGGTAGCTCAGTTGGTTAGAGCGTCCTCTCGGTACACCACGGCTGCGGGTTCGATCCTCGGTCAGGGCACATACAAGAAGCAACCAATGAATGCATAAATAAAGTGGAACAACAAATCCCCCCCCCCGCCCCGCTCTCG